CAGTATTAAGTAGGTGATTTGAGTAATCTTAAAGAGAAGATGCCACCTCATCCCAAACTTAAGGAAGGCAATACAGTTAGGAAAGAAATAGCTGGTGTCGACCAGTTCACGTACTGAAAAGAGCTTGAACAATGCCCTAAGACAGAAACATACCTGATCTTTGCAATGAACACAAAGAAGTCCAGTGTCTCAGAGAATGATGAGGAAAAGGGTGTTGAGGTGCTGAGTGTTTAAGGCCTTGGAAGTAAAGGGTTCAAGTCAGGGGAAAACACACACACCTTTGAAAGAATTTTGGCTATTACTCTAAATTAAAAAGGAAGGCACAGAAAATTTATTAGCAGATGCATTATTTAATTTAACTTAAATTTTGAATGAGCAGTGGCTGTTTTTAAAGCTTAGATTGTAGTTCTGCTCAGAGATAACCCAGGCAAGAAATATTGGTGCTTTCGGCCAGAGTGAGACAGTGCAGTAGCTCCAAGTGTCCTGATACTAAATATATTGTTGGAACAGCCAATAGGATTCCATGACAGATTAGAATATTAGGCTTAATAAAAGAGTAAAAATTGACCCCCAGGAATCTGGCCTAAGCAAGTTAAAAAATGCTATCAGGAACAACAGAGGTGGGGAAAGTAGTGAGTAAAGCATGTATGGAAGAAGATTGGGAAATCAGTTTTGGATATATTGAGTTACATGCTTCTTAGACATCCTGTAGGCAGTTTGATATACGAGTTCAGAGTTCAGGCAATGGAGTTCACAGGAGTCCATCGCAGTTTCCAAACAAAAAATAGAAGAGGGCCGGGCATGGTGGCTCGCGCCTGTAATCCTAGCACTTTGGGAGGTCGAGATGGGTGGATCACGAGGTCAGGGTATCGAGACCATCCTGGTTGACATGGTGAAACCCCGACTCTACTAAAAATACAAAAAATTAACCGGGTGTGGTGGTGGGCACCTGTAGTCCCAGCTTTTCGGGAGGCTGAAGCAGGAGAATGGCGTGAACCCGGGAGGCGGAGCTTGCAGTGAGATAGTCCCACTGCACTCCAGCACTCCAGCCTGGATGACAGAGCGAGCCTCTGTCTCAAAAAAAAAAAAAAAAAAAAAAAAAAGAAGAGAGAGAAGAAAAGAGGCTGAGCAGACTCTTAGTGCTATCACTTTCTTTCGTGCTACATGTTCGCTGAGGAATACTGGACTTTTAAACGTAAGAATATTTTATCAATCTTCTTTTTTGTCTTCTGTAAATATAGGCTTCTCCAGAAAGATCAGCCTTTCTCCAAACACAAAAGGTGATGCCTGAAGGTAGGTGCTTAGTAAGCTTACGTTTTCATAGGCTAAGAAATGTCATCCGACTGATGTCTGTCATAAAAATAGAAAATTTCTTCCAAGGTGATGGGATGTTCCTTTCTCTGGAAGTAATAAGTGGCAGTATAATATAAGCAATCTTTCCATATTTTGTATCTGTAACCAAGATCAACCTTGTAAGCGAAAGTTGCACACCTATTAACTGTGTAAATATAGACATAAGTATGTTATTTGTGATATATGCATTTACATATTCATATAAATATATGTATATACATGTAGACATAGCTATTTATATTTATATAAACACAAATATCCATGCAAAGAGTTGAAATGTAAGGATTAAGGTATTATGCACGCTCACCTTCTAAAATGAATGATAATCTAAATTATTTTTTTTATTTTCCTGTTATGGAACTGGACTCATGTGAGAATAACTAATTCAAGATCAGATATTTAAGTTTGTCCAAAATCCTGAAAACATGTACAGTGTTGTTCTGGTCATTGAAAATCTAAAAGAAAAATATAATTAGTTCTAAACAACACTGAAAAAAAAACAGCTAAGGATTTCTTGTCATTTTATAACTACATACAATATTACTTTACTTTTAAAAATTAGGAGAGGTTATGATATTGCAGAAACAGTAAAAAAATAAGCTAAATATGATTAGGTAGACATGGATATTCACATGCTCAGAAGGCATTATATGTAATACAAAATGGTTATTTTCACTGAAATCTTTATACATAGTAGAAAAATCATTTTGAAGTCTGAAATTTTTTTTAATATCTTAATACTTTTGTCACATAAAATTAATACTATTTTTAAAAAAATTATCTTACTTTATGATGCAACTGAGATCTATGATTGGATGGAACAAGTTGATTGCAATTAGGTAAATATTTTTTCATTTTGTTATAAATTTATAATTACTTGAATTTTCAGTAAAATAGCATGCTCACAACTAGTATATAAATTGAAAGAAAAATGTAAGTATTCATCTTTGGTAAAGAAAAGCCAATAGCTTAGCAGAAGTTTAGCACATAGATTAGTAAGTAATAAAAAAAAGAGAGTTTTCCAGAGTGTTGTATTAGTTTACATTCCTTCCATTATTATATGATAATCTCATTTGTGTTACATTAAATTTTCTTTAGGATTTATAATTGCTGTCATTCTAATGGATGTTAAATGGTATCCCATTATAGTTTTAATTTGCAGATCCTGATAAATAAACATGTTAACCATCATTCATCTTCTTGTTTGACATTGATACACCTCCTCTAATAAACTCTGTGTTCAATTATTTTACTCATGTTTTAAAAATTATTGTATTCTTATTTTTCAACTGTAGGGTTGTTTTCTCAATAGAAGTAATTTTATATGTAAACCCAAGATCAAAGCACCAGCGGATTCTATGTCTCATGAGGACCCATATTCGAGTTCAAGGATGACTCCTTCACTCTATTTTCACATAAGAGAAGGGACAAAGCAGTTCCTTGGGGCTTCTTTTATAAATGCAGTAATCCCACCATGAAGGTTCCACCCTCACAACCTAATCATCTACCAAAGGCTTCACCTTGTAACACCATCATATTGATAATTTAGGTTGCAAAATACAACTACAGGAATGACATACATTCAGACTCTTGTACTATCCTTCAAGGTCAAGTTCTAATTTCTTAATGAATGTTATCATTTGGCATTGGTTATTGATAGTGTTTTTCTGCAAGGATTTGCATGCATTTTTTGCTTTCACTAACAGGAGTCCTGTGTAGAGTAGGGAATGGAGGAACTCTATCTTAAAGAATTATAACTAGGCTGGGCATGGTGACTTATGCCTGTAAATCCAACGTTTTGGGAGGCCAAGGCGGACAGATCACCTGAGGTCAGGAGTTCCAGAGCAGCCTGACCAACAGGGAGAAACCCCGTCTCTACTAAAAACACAAAGTTAGCCTGGCGTGGTGGTGCATGCCTGTAATCCCAGTTACTCGGGAGGCTGAGGCAGTGGAATCACTTGAACCTGGGAGGTAGAGGTTGTGGTGAGCTGAGATCACACCAATGCACTCCATCCTGGGCAACAAGAGTGAAACTCCATCTCAAAAAACAAACAAACAAACAAACAAAAAAAAAACAAAGAAAAGAAAAAAAAAGAATTATAACTCTACAACTCAATAGCAAAAAGACAAATAACCTTTTATAAATGGGCAGATGACCTGCATAGACATTTCTCCAGAGAAGACATAAAAATGGTCATCAGGCGTATGAGAAGATTCTCAACCTTACTAGCCATCAGGGAAATGCAAATCAAAACTACCAGAGGCCAGGCACAGTGGCTCATGCTTGTAATCTCTGCCCTTTGAGAGGCCGAGACAGGAGGATCGCTTGAGCACAGGAGTTCAAGACTAGCCTGGGCAACTTAAGGAAACCCCATCTCCACAAAACAATGAAAACAACAACAACGACATAATACTATTACACACTCTGAGAGGCCGAGGCAGGAGTATTGCTTAAGCCCAGGAGTACAAGACCGGCAATATTACATGCAACAGTGAAATCCCATCTCTACAAGCAAACAAAAAACACGATGGGATATTACCTCACACCTTTTAGAATGGCTGTTATTAAAAGGCAAGAGATAAGAAATGTTGAGGGTGTGGAAAAAAAAGGCAGCTCCCTTGTGCATTGCAGGTGGAAATAATGGTTGGTGCAGTCAATGTGGAAAACAATATGGACGTTTCTGAAGAAAATACAAATAGAGCTATCATATGACCCAGCAATTCTTCTGCATATATACCCAAAGGAAATGATATTACGACCTTGTAAAGACTCTCAGGGTCATTGTAGCATTATTCACAATAGCAAAGATATGGAAACAACCTACATGTCCATCAAATTTGATGATATTGATAGATACATAGATAATTATGCAGCCTTAAAAGAGGAGATCCTGCCATTTGTAACAACATGGGTAAAACTAGAAGACACTATGCTAAGAGAAATAAGTCTGACAGAAAAAGACTAATTGATCTCACTTGTATGTGAAATTTAAAAAAAAAAAAAAAGAAGAAGAAGAAGAAGAATGTATATAGAGAATAGAAATGTAGGACGGGCGCAGTGGCTTACGCCTGTAATCCCAGCACTTTGGCGGGCGAGGCGGGCCGAGGCGGGTGGATCACGAGGTCAGGAGATCGAGACCATCCTGGCTAACACAGTGAAACCCCCTCTCTACTAAAAACACAAAAAAATTAGCCAGGCGTGGCAGCGGGCGCCTGTAGTCCCAGCTACTCGGGAGGCTGAGGCAGGAGAATGGCGTGAACCCGGGAGGCGGAGCTTGCAGTGAGCCGAGATCGCGCCACTGCACTCCAGCCTGGGTGACAGAGCAAGACTCCCTCTCAAAAAAAAAAAAAAAAAGAGTAGAAAGGTAGTTATCAAGGAACATTTTGCAGCAAAATGTACAAAGTTGCAATTCCATCAGGTGAATAAGCCTGGAGACCTAATATAGAGTTTGAGGAATACAGTTAATAATACTGTATTACAATCCTTTAGCTAGACAGAAAAGTTCTCCAAGTCCCGACCTGATTAGCCAGACACAGAGCACTGATTGGTGCGTTTACCAACCTTTAACTAGACACAGAGTGCTGATTGGTGTGTTTACAATCCTTCAGCTGGACAGAAAAGTTCGCCAAGTCACCATTCCTCCCAGAAACTCAGCAGGCTTCACCTCTCACTGGCACTCGCCGTGTGACTTTGCAGCACCTAGCCCGGGCATTCTGGCAGCCCAGAGGGAGCTTGTCCCCGTATCAAGCCCGGCAGGCACCCGCCCGGCGGCAGCTCCGGCTCCTGCCAGCGCCTCTTCCTCTACACCTCCACGCCAGCAGAGGGAGCCGACTCCCGCCTCCGCCAGCCCCAGAGAGAGGCCACCACAGCGCGGCAGCAGGCTGAAGGGCTCCTAGAGCATAGCCAGAGCAGAAGCCGCGAAAAGCGAGCAGGGACACGCCCTCTTCCACCCAGGAGCCTGTCTGCCTCCCACGGCCATCCATGGCACCCAGGCTGCTTGCATCAAGGGGCATCTGCAGGCCAGCACCCGGCTGCCCTCAGCAACCCCTTTTAGGTTCCTTTCCTATGCTCTTTGACACCTAAAGTACTGAAAGGGCTGAGGCAGCAGAAGGCTGGCATGTCAACACTGCCCCTAGTGTGTGTGCACACCCAGCTGGGCTGTGACAGCGCCTGGGCTGAGCCCCAACCCTGCTTCGATATCTGAGCAGAACCAAGAGTGGGGTCGAAGAAAGGTAAGTGAGATAAAAAAAAATTAGGCCCATCCTTTTGCTATCTTCAAGAGATTCATTTCGTATATAAAAACACTGACAGTCTCAAATAAAGGGTTGGAAAAAGAACTACCACACAAACAGGAAACAAAAAAGAGCAGACGTCACTGTTCTTTTATTAAATATACTAGACTTCAAACCAACAATAGTAAAAAGGAGCGAAGGAGAGCATTAAATAATGATAAAGGAATCAATTTAACAAGAATTAACTATCTTAAATATATATGCATCCAACATTGGAGCAACCAGATTTATGAAACAGGTACTTGTAAACCTATAAAAAGGCTTAGACAGCTATACAATAATTGTGAGAGTCTTCAACACCCCACTGATGTTTTTAGGCAGATCATCAAGGCAGAAAAAGAACAGATATTCTGGACTTAAACTTGATGCATGACTATTGGGACCTAATAGACATCCACAGAATGCTTCACCATTAACCACAGAATGTACACTCTTTTAATCTTCACATAGAACATATTCCAAAATTGACTATATGCTCAGTCATAAAGCAAGTCTCAATACATTCCAAAAATCACAATCATAGCAATAATACTCTTGGACCACAGTGGGATACAAACAGAAACTAATACCAAGAAGATCTCTCAAAATCACATGATTACATAAAAATTAAACAAGTTGCTCCTGAATAAAATTTGGGTAAACAACAAACTTAAGGCAAAAACTCAAAAATTCTTTGAAAGGAATGAAAACAGAGACACAACAAACCAAAATCTCTGGGATGCAGCAAAAACAGTGTTAAGAGGAAACTTTATAGCAGTAAACATCTACCTCAAAAAGCTAGAAGTTTCTCAAAGTAATGATCTAACATCTCACTGAGAGGAACTAAAAAATACATAGTTTGCGTCAAACTTTGACTCTCCCCCACTTACCACCATTACCAAACCCAACATATAAAATAAGAAGACATTCTCTTTTTTGTCTTTCAGTCAGTAAGTGAAGCAAAGAAAGCAAGGTTTTGAGGATAAAAGGCAGTAAATGTGAGAAACTAGCTTCCTGATCCTCCTGATCCTCTTCTGCACTATGAGTTTTTGGGACAGATGCTGACATGATTGACAGCAATCTACCAGGAGAGCCAGCAATTTGCTTCTGCTCACTCTCCCAACACTGAAGAGAACTGTGATGACCCAATTAAATGAAAAGTCAAGAAAGCTTTCCCCTTGAATCCCTTTTTAACACCTCTCTTAGAAATATTTATAAAACTTCACAATCTAAAGGCCCTTGATCATAAATTGAAATTTAGGGCTAGATTCTTCAATCTAATGAACTTCACCAAAAAGACTTTCCGCAATTATTCAGAAACCCATTCTAGATATCTTTATACTCTCTATTGTGAACTGAGTCTCTGAGACCATATTCCAATCATAATCCAACCCTCAGCTTAATTAACTGATGTTAAATATATCTATATGGAATTAAATGACTGTCTCTGTGCTGCTATAACAAAACATTCGAGACTGGGTACTTATAAGTAACAGAGATTTACTTCTCACAGTCCAGAAGCTGCGAAGTCCCAGATCAATTCACCAGTAGGTTCAATGTCTGATGAGGGCCTGTGCCTCATAGATGACACCAAAGGTGCCCTCACATGGTCAAAGGGCAAAAATAAGGATGAATGCTGTGTCCTCACTTGGTAGAAGGGCAGCAAAGCACAAGGGGAGTAGCCTCCCTCCAACACTTTCATATCAAGCAGAATCTATTCAAGATGGGGGAGCCCTTATGATTTAATCACTTCCCCACAGATCCTACCTCATAATATCCCCACAATGGGGATTAATCTTCACCATATAAAGTTTGAGGGACATTCATTCATAGCAATAGCACCCCATCAATATGTTAATATTTAATTGGTTCACTTCTTTATATCTGATTTTCTCTTGCCCTGTACTCAGCTTTGAGGATGTGCTCTCCTTCCACTACTCCCACGTTCAAGATGTGGCCATGGAAAAATATCACAAGAACACAGTAACAATTAAGTAAATTTATTATAAGCACTACTTTTAAAAGGGGTAATCAAATTTCTCATATGAATTATGTGATGTTCTTAACACAAACAAACAAAATACCTAATGTGTTCCTATCAAGCGTATGAAGTCACTGAAGAGGCTCCTTCTCAAACATAGTAGGAACAAGAGCAAGTTTAGAGGTAAAGCCAGAATAGTTTTCTGAAGGCATCAAGCCCTAGTGTTTCCTGCTGAGACCAGCTCGGTCAGAGCGACACTAACCCAGCAACGCTAGAGGAATTAAAGACACACACACAGAAATATAGAGGTGTAAAGTGAGAAATCAGGGGTCTCACAGCCTTCCGAGCTGAGATCCCCAAACAGAGATTTACCCACATATTTATTAACAGCAAGCCAGTCATTAGCATTGTTTCTATAGATATTAGATTTAAAGTATCCCTTACGGGAAACGAAGTGATGGGCCCAAATAAAGGGGTGGGTCTGGCTAGTTATCTGCAGCAGGAACATGCCCTTAAGGCACAGATCGCTCATGCTACTATTTGTGGTTTAAGAATGCCTTTAAGCGGTTTCCACCCTGGGCAGGCCAGGTGTTCCTTGCCCTCATTCCGGTAAACCCACAACCTTCCAGTGTGGGCATTATGGGCATCATGAACATGTCACAGTGCTGCAGAGATTTTGTTTATGGCTAGTTCTGGGGCCAGTTTATGGCCAGACTTTGGAGGGCCTGTTCCCGACAGTTTCCCACACTTTATGGGATGGTTTCTCACTTGATGTTCAAATGAACTCTTTATTTACGTCCATCAAATTTACAAATAAAGAGATAGATTTTTTTAACTGAAACCCAAGAAAGAAAATTAAAAATACCTGAGAGAGATTGTTAATTACTGATGTAATGTCAGTTTTTTTCAGATATAGTGATAACTTAGAGGTTTAAACCTAGTTCACATTAATCTGTAGGACATTTAAGATTCAAAACTTCTTGAGGGAATTTCAACTTGTGATACAGAGAGAAAATATGTTTTATATTGCCTTCGAAGTAAATTTTGCCATTCTTTAGAGCATTTCTGCAACTCAACCCTTCATCTTTAAAGAATTTTCAAACTGTAAATAAAAATATGGGAGATTAAATAATTTTAATATGAAAACTAAATATAATATGATTTTTAAAAATATGTCCAAGATTTGAAAACCTACAGTAGGGGGGCCAGAGGAACCATATGGCCTTGTTTGCCTATTAGATTTCCAGGCTATGTCTGTGGTCTTGGCTTAGTTATTAATAATACCCTCTTTCATTCTCAAAAATGTACGATTTGGATGACTTATCATGGCCACACTGCCTGTAATTGATAAAGCCACGTGTTGCCTGCTTCTGTTTTCTCTTATTTTTATTTTGCTTTCTTCAGGAATGAATTATCTTTTCTTTATTTCTCTATTGTTAGTTTTTTTTTCAGAAGTATAAAAAGATACTTCTTCAAGAATTTGATATTGAAACAAATTTAGTTATTTTCTTTGCTCTTTGAATTACTGGCACAGTCTAATCATTATATTCCAGTTTTAGAAAAATAAATAAAAGCACAGCCCAGGACTGCAATGTAAAAATATCTAATTTCTGCCAACTTGATTTAATATAACAATTAATAAAATGTATTCATATTTTACATTTTATATGTATGTCATGAGAAAGACACAGGCAGAGAGACACAGAAATACAACTACACCTACATGTATCCTAGAGAGAGTTGAAAAGTATTGGTGTGTGTGCTATATCGAAAAACATTTTCTTTTTTTTTTTTTTTTTAATATTAAGAAGGCTCTTTGGCATAAAAAGCTTCAAATCACAGCTTGAAATGGACAAATTGTAGGGAACAGAGTGACAAACTTATGCTACCACGCACAACTCAGAATAGGCTTCCAGACAGCTAAAATGTGTCATTTAGAAGGAATGTGTCTCATTTACTCATTGTTTAGAGTGATTGAAATACACTCCTCTCACCTAGCTCCTTGGCAAGTATTTCAATTAAGTGGGCACAAAATTTATCCTAGTGCAGTGTTCTATTATTCTGCTCTATAGTATATAATTGCTCCTCACTTTGGACTTGTAGAAGCCTTCCAGTGTCGGAAAAATAACACATCTCTTTTAAGGTAATAACCATAACTTTTCTCAGAGGAAATTCTTGTTTGGTAAAAAGCCTGTGATGCTGGAAGCACAGGGTGTTTATTTTCGTCAGTGTATTAGAAATAATGGGAAATGTGTATAGCTAGTGAAATTCGTAGTATGTGAAATATTAATCTGTATAAAAAAGCAAAATAACTTGGAATAAAAATATTATAATATTTTTATCATAGAAATGATTCTTATATACTAGAGATGAATCCAGGAAAAGGTTATCCAATATTCACTTCTCCCACTTGCGTTGAAGTAGTAAGAATTTAAAATAAATAAAGACCTGTCTTGGTTTTATTCTGCATTGTACAACACAAACATTCTGATACACTCTGCTTTCTTAAAAGTTGTTCAAATTATGTTACAAGTTTACTTCTTCATTGGAGTTTTTCAATTTGCTAACATGTTCCTGACACTTCTTACCTTTGTACCATCTCTTCTTCTTCTTCCTCTTCTTCTTCTTCTTCTTCTTCTTCTTC